GCTCTACCACTCGAGCCACAGCGCCATTCCCCAGGCTGTTTAAAACACAACATGAAAGCCAGTCCTGGCAGGTATATCCAGGGAACCAGCACAAAGCCAGAAGTAGAACTGTGGTTCAAGCGGTAGAGCACCAACCTTGAGCAAATAACCAAACTAAGAGTTCAGAGTCCTGAGTTCAAACCCCAGTGCAGTGTGCATGCGCGTGCACACACACACACACGCATTTCAGCTGGACACAGCCAGTGGTCTACACCTGCTCTTCCAGCTACTCAGGAGACCACGATCTGAGGATCCAGGTTCCAAGCCAGCCCAGGAAAGAAAGAATAACCACCAAAAGGTAGAAGTTGAGCTGTGGCTCAAGGGGGAAAAATTTAATACTTTAAAAGAAAAGTTGGGCTGTGAAGGTGGCTCAGTGGTAGAGCGCTTGCCTTGCATGCATGAGGCCCTGGGTTCGATTCCTCAGCACCACATAAGCAGAAAAAGCCGGAAGTGGCGCTGTGGCTCAAGTGGTAGAGCGCCTGCCTTGAGCCGAAGAGCTGAGGGACAGCGCCCAGGCCCAGAGTCCAGGCCCCATGATTGACAAAAAAAGGAAAAGTCATGACAGGTGGATCCATTGTAACAATGAGATGGACAAGACACTATGTTAAAAACGAACTTCACAACTTTGGGGGGGAGGCTCGATAGGAGATGGACTCATTTCCTTACTCACGTACCTGTAACCCCTCTGTACAGTATCCATCCATCCATAGTTAAACAACGAACTGAACACAGGCATGGGTTTTCGAACAGTCCGGGAGTCCCGTGCTTAGCTCAACTGCACTGTTTTGGGGGGCTACCCCTGCTTTTCGGAGCACGGGAGAGGCCACGCTTAGTGACGAAGACTCCCCTGCAGGGAACTTACTCTAAGTGGAATGGGGGCCTCGGAGGGAGCGGGCCCGGGCTCCTCTCATTTCCTGGGCCTGGCGCCGCGGGGGGCTTCCCCCCACTTCCCGGGCCCTCGACTTCCTCCTCTCCAGCTGCCCCGGCCCCGGTGTCCTTCCTTCCCCAGCGTGGCGGTCCCGAGTGGGCCTGGGATTCGCCCCATCCCCGCTGGGTGCGGCCGCTGGGCACCCGGCGGCCCGGCGTTCGCCCTCTCCCGGGGGCGCC